TTGCAACTTCCTAATTATAGATGTGGCGCGTTTCACACTGATAACTAGGACTCTACAGACACGACTTCATAGACTCTCTATGACTCTTGAACTTTGTGCTCTGATACCAAGTTTGTCACTCCCGAGCCTACACTGGGAGAGACTGGCACTCGAGAACCATTGTTGGCCCCAAGCGAACCTTTGTCTAGGCTTACAACTCAGCGGAAGACTTTACTCAACATTTAAAATAACTCAAGAGATAAAATCATGTAATACACTCAGAATGTTATAAAGGAAACATTCAACTAGTCAAAGAGAAAACTCAAGACTTTAAACATTTAAAACTGAAAATGGAAAAGACTCATGAACTAGCAATATCTAACTATCTATGAAACCTCTAATAACTGAGATGGACGTTGGGCCAAGACCCACGACATCCTAATAAAACTAGAATAATAAAGCAAATAAAAGGGATCCTCCGGAAACAAGGAGGCTCACCAACAACTCTGAAGCTCAACTGTATCAATGCAGAGCTGGATGCTGATCCTGGTTACTTGTATCTGCATCATAAAAGATGCAGGCCAAACGGCGTCAGTACATGGAATGTACGAGCATGTGAGGAGAATTCTAAAATGAGACATAAGCTTGAAAGTGAACTGAAGAAACTTACCTCGTCTCAACTTAACTCAATGTATTTCAGTATAACGTAGTAATAAGGATGCAGTATAAAGAAAAACTTTATAACATGTAGATAACAACTCAATGTATTGAAAAACACAATAGTAACTTAGTTTTGTATACGAAAATACAAGTAACTCTGTGGGAGATTCTCTAACCGACAATCATCACTATGAGCTATGTGATGATACAACGTCTTGCCACACACTGCCAGGGCCGTCTTATACTTTGCCAAGGTATATAACCTACTACTAAGTGGATCCACTAGTCTATGTTAAAAAGCACTAAGGAATCATCTAAAAAGTATGACCCTTTCTACCCACGTTGGCTACATGGTTATGAAGACTTTATGTTATCTAAACTCGTCTCCATATCGATGCTCAATACTACTCCCAAAATGTAACTAGCTCATATGTTTAAAAGCATAACTTTCTCTATGGTTTGAGATTATTACTCAAAAATCTATCTCTTAAAAGAGATGGTACTCAGAACTGCTCATGAAAACTACTTTGGAAATCGGTGTTTCCTCTCATCTTAAATGTGAAAACATTTAATCTTTGGGAATACTTAGTTCCCGTATAATCTTTTGAAGAAATGAACTAGACTATACTCTTTCTCAACTGAATGCATAAGTCTTAAAACAAGTTTAAAATATTTGTAAAAGACTTTTGAAAAGACTCTCAGAACTCTCTAGACTTGACTCTTAACTTTCCTTGAATTTGAATTATGGGCTCAATGGTTATGATTCATTTTATGGAAGATATCATGATGATTAAAAGTGTTTTAGATAATTGATCATGATAATTGGTTGAAAAACACTGTCTGGGGAGCAAGTTCGTGACGTGGAAATGAATTCTAATATTTGGTTGCAAATTTTTTTTTGAAATAGTGGATTCTGTGTTCTCTCCGTGACGCGAAGAGAAAATTCTGAGGAACAAGTCCGCGTACTTTATTTATTCCCGATCTTTTCTTACTTGTTTTTTGACCCTAATTCGCCTAGAATCGAATGGTTTCTTTCCCAATCACTTAAACTCGAATGCTCAAATTATAAACACGATAATCTAATCCAAATCACCCTTAATTCACTAACTTTTATCCTAAGAATTTATCAAACCCATCCTAATTCAAGAACATAAACAATACTTTCAAGAACTCAAATCCTTGAACTTCAAGAACTAAACTTCGTTGAAAATATCATGATTGGCGTGTGGGTGAATGAACCCAACACTATGAGAAACTCGCATACCTCTTAAGATCAAATCCTTGGCGAAACAACCTTCGAATCTGCACGAAAACTCCAAGAACGCCTTGGCTTTTCTCCTCTTCTTGAACTCTTCTCAAAACCCTAGCGTATATTGGTTTGGGAAAACTGAACCAAATAAGTTTAGACCCCTAATTAATTACTAAAAATGAATTAACCTGATTGGATAAGAAAAAGACCAAAATACCCCTCTTAAATTCAGGTAACTTTCCTTATCTGGACAGCTCGACTTTAAATATTCATATCTCCCTCATACGAGCTCGAAAATTAGCAAACTTGGTGGCGTTGAAAAAATGATTCTAAGACCTTTCATTTGATATCTTATTGGCCACCTAACTCCTCATGTACTGAAATTTATGGTAGTTTGAAGTTGACCCAAAACTCATACTTAACATAATTTGCCAAAATTTCCAAATTTACTATTTCCAAAAATAGTTCTTTCTAATTCTAGTTCTTTCTAGGTCTGGATGTTATAGAACACATGACATAGAAGAAAACCCCAACTCAATTGGGGAATTCTAACTTTGTAAATTGGAGAATTTGGAAACTCCATGGATGAAAACTATCATACCTTGATGCCAAAAGCTTGGAAGCAATGGAGGATTAGGAGACTTGATCTTGAAACCCTAGTTTTCTTCTTCAACTTCTAGAGAGAGAAATATTTGAGAGGAGGAGCTTGATCTTATTTTGGAAATTTAAGAGAATGAATTGAGTTTGAGTGATTTGGGGGTTTAAAATCATTATATAGGGCTTTGGGTAGAAGGAAAAATGACATAGTATTGAATTAAAACAATTGGGGAAAAGACCCAAAAGTCCTTGATTAAAAACTGCTAAATTGGGTCACTGGAATCCCAAAACGGGTCGTCGTCATCATAACGTCCCGTCAAACGGGTCGTGAAGAATTTCTGCTTGACAAGGCTTTACTATTTTAGGCATAACTTTTTACTGCGAGCTTGGAATTGGTAAAACTTGGTGGCGTTGAAAAGAGGACTCAGAGATCTTTAATTTGATAGGTCATGGGCCACCTAATTTATTATGTGCTAAAAGATATAATCGTTTGAAGTTGACCCTAAACTCTAAGTCTAATGAAAACCCTTCACGGGCCGTTTTGACGCCTGTGGTCCTTGACCAGTGGCTAGGGGAGAACCCCCTTCCGACTTGACCCCTTTACAACCACTTTCACAACCCGTCTCCATCTTCACGGCCCGTGTAAGGGTCCGTGGGAGGGTGCCTGCTTGGGGCAAGTTCTGGAAACCTACCACGAGCCCCTCAACGGACCGTGGTCCCTTTCACTGCCCGTCTGGGGCTCCGTGGAGGGTTTCATGGTCCACTTTTTGGGCTTGTGAGTCTCCCACTTGGCCCATTTCTAGCCTTTCTCAAATCAGATGTGTTACAATAGACCCGCTCCGCATGAACCCGCCCCACATAATTTTTTTAATATTTTCTTTTTCTAGTTAAGTTTGATACTAAAAATGAAATTATTTAAAATTCATATGAATAATTTCATTTTTCATTAAGTTGTACTTAATTTAATAGAATAGTGACTTAAAATTTTATTTTTTAGAGGTTAATTGAGAAACATGTAAGAAATTGAATTATTTTTTATTGAATAGTTTTCATTTACTATCTTGAATACTTTAGTAACTTTAAAAAAATTATCTTAATAAATAATACTATATCACTCTTATAACATGTAAAAAATCAAAATTAAGTATAAACCACATAAAATCACATATACATGCAATCCGCTCCGTCCCACATTAGTTTTAAAAAAACTCACTTCAACCCGTCCGCATTCCACCCACCCTGCAACCTTAAACCCGCCCCAAATAGCCATAAATCCGCCTCACCCCGCATATGCCATGCCCCATTGCCATCCCTAACCAAATTGCTTTTCTAAATAGACCCATATATTTAAGGGAAAAAGGACAAATATACCCCCGAACTTTTGAAAATGGTATGGCAATACCCTCCGTCATACTTTACGTCCATCAGAGCCCTTGCCGTCAAATAAGCAGTTCAATATTTCCTCTCCCACTAACGGAACACTCATTTTGTACACGTGGCGCAATCCTAAGCCACAACCCGAATTGACCAATTATTTAACCCAAATTTCAAAAACCCGCCCCTAACCCATTTAACCCACCTGATTTACTCACAAATAAACTATGTGAGTCTGGTTTGGCAACCTAACGAGATGTTGTGGCTAGCTAGGGCTTGGAAAATTCAGTACCAAGGTGGTGGTTCATCGTCTGAGCTTGTTAATTTAGAAGGTTCTCCAGGGGCTACCGCAGGTAGGGGAGCTACAGGTGGGGGAACTACAGGAAGTGGAAGAGGCAAGAAGAGAGCTGATAAAGATAGAGAAGTGGCTGAGTTCCTCAACAGGCATGGAGTTAACAGAGACGCTAAAATTGCTAGGACTAAATGGGACAATATGTTGGGTGAATTCAGAGAAGTCCATCAATGGGAGAGAGGTACTGAGAGGGAACAAAAAGAGTTATTTTAGACTTTCCCCTTATGAAAAAAAGATTCATAAATTTGATGAAGAAGTGTTTGAAGAATTCCCCAAGAAGGGGCTGCAGAAAAAAGTGATTTAGATAAAACTTGAGGAGGAGCTAAAGCTTGAGAGACTTCAATAGAGAGACTCAAGAACAAGATAGAAATTTCATGGGTTCTTTTGGTGTCTCCGGCGGCGGTGGCTGGCACATTGACTGAAATTGGTCCATAGTTTATTTGTGGGTTAAATGGGTTATGAGCGGGCTTTGGAAATTTGGGTTAAATAATTGGTCAATCCGGGTTGTGGATTTAGATTGTGCCACGTGTACAAAATGAATGTTCCGTTAGTGGGAGGGGCAAATGTGCACTGATTATTGGACGACAAGGGCTTTGATGGACGTAAAGTATGACGGAGGGTATTGATATACCATTTTCAAAAATTCGGGATATATTTGTCTTTTTCCTTATATTTAAACAACAAAATTTCATTTTTGTTAGTCTCTCTAACATTTTTCTTTGCAGACGCTCTAAAACCTTAACCCAAACCCTAGATATCCCAAGAATGTAAATCAATCTCTTCTCTAAACGGTTTTCAAATCTATCATAATTTTTCCCAGTTTTATTTGCTGATTTTGTTTTGCTTGGATCTGTACTTTTCAGTTATAGTAGTAGTCAATAATGGAAGACACAAAGGAGAACGATGCTTACGAGGAGGAGCTTCTTGACTACGAAGAAGATGATGAAAAAGCCCCTGATTCCATCTCCGGCAAAATTAATGGCGAGTCCGCCAAGAAGTGAGCTTTACTCTTCACTTCTACATTTCTGTTGCGTTGTTTGTGCGTGTTTTTTTTTTTTTTTTAACAAATGTACTATTTTTGGCGTTCGTAATCACACTGTATAATTATTTCATCAGTTCTGATTTTTTTGGCTAGTAGTGCTTATGTCATCTTGAAAATTTTTATTCGTTTTTTCTTTTCACTCTTAGAATTTGTGGTCTATGGAATGAATTGGGTCCAAATGTATCTTAATATGTTAGTATTTTACATAGCTGACCAGCTAGTTTGGCATTGAAGTGTAGTATTAATTGTAGTGGTGCAGCTATTGTAATTACACACTAAGTTTGAAATGCTTTATTTTTCTCAATGCAGGGGTTACGTTGGCATTCACAGTTCCGGATTCAGAGACTTTCTGCTAAAGCCAGAGCTATTGCGGGCTATTGTGGATTCAGGCTTTGAGCATCCTTCTGAAGGTAGGCCATCTCATTTATGGGCACTTGATTTCACAGAAAATCTTTTTATTTAGTTTGTTAGTTGGATTTTTAATTTGAGTACTTCTGTGCTTAAACTTCACCCTCCCCAGAACCCACGTGTGGGATTACATTGGCTATGTTGCTGTTGTTGTGCTGCTTGTGGAAAAAAATTTGTTCTCCTGTTGCCTTCTTTACACTAAAAGGATATATAAAAAGAAATACAAGTAGATATATGCTATCACTTGCAGCTTGCAGGGATCTGTGATTGGTGCTTATGAATATAGCCGAAGTAGGCTCTTCTAGAAAAGAAAGATGATGGTATTGCTTATCATACAATGAACTAGCGTGCATAGATATGTCAAGATGAGTTGACAAGAGCAAGAAAGTTCAGAAAAGTTGCTCTAGCAATGGAGAAATCAACTAAATGACTCTTTCTTCATATAGATCTAACAAGCCAACCTTCTCTAAGACAGACAAATGGACGTGTTTGAGTTATAAAGTTCATCTTTTATGCTTAGTTTCCTTTGTCTCTGAATAATCTAACTTTGCCCTAATGTATGAGCAAAGACTATGATACATTGCATCATTTGAATTCTTTGCTTTCTGTCAGTTCCTTAAATTTAAAACTTAATATTTGTAGACTCTTTGGCTGATAATCCCTCCTTTCCAAATGTCATAAAATAGTGAAGCCATTGCTATTCTTAGTTTTACTGATTAGTAATGTTGCCTTTCATGTGCCTTAGATTTGGATGTTAAGGTAACTCTGGTAAAAGGTACTTGTTTTGAGTTAGTTTTGTTTCTGAGAATGATCATTATATAAGTATTAATGAGAATGCTAGCGTCTACTGGAATAAGTCTGATCGTTCATCTTTCTCATTTACCAAGATTTACCAAGTTGAAGGGTACTTATTTATGACAACTAGTCTGGTTGCATCCAACACAAAAAATTAGAATACAATTAAGTTTGATCTGTACTGTATTACTACTATGCTCGAAATATCTGGAATTCCTTTGTCTCCAAATTGTCCACCAAATGCAAGAGGGCCATCCTCCATCTGTCTTTGTCACCTACTCTAGCTCCAACTACTTCCTAACTAAAAAAATTTCAGTAATCTTTCTGGGTATTGTCCAGGCTATGCTGCTGAGATTAATAAATATCTTCCAGAACTGATCAGTTATCCTACAATGTGAATCTGTCTCCACCTCCTTCCCAAATAAATAAGCATCTTGAGCAGAGAGGAAACTTCTTGATTATTTTATCATGTGTGAGCACAACTTCGTTTGCCCACCAACCATGTGAAGCATGCGAATTTGTAGGGACTTTAGGGCCTGTTTGGATGGGCTTATAGCTTATAAGCAACAAGCCATATGATAGAAATCCTAACTTATGATTTTCGACTTATTTTTGGCTTAAAAGCAACTGTTTAAAAACATTTTTTAATTTTATCCAAACACTACAAAAGTGCTTAAAAGCTATTTTGACCTAAAAACACCTAAAATAAGCCAATCCAAGTAGGCTCTTAGTCGTCCAAGTATGTTTCAAGGCCAGTTGGTTACGTGAGGCCATGTTGATTTATCATTTTATAAGCTGCATTAACTCTGAATTTTCCACTATTGTGTCCTTGTCACCTCAGTGTGTCATTTCCATTGTGAATTCTTATGAAGTTCTCCAATTGTTTGTAGAACTCAATGATTCTGTTCATCTCCGAATCGTTCAAGCATCTTTTAAGTATCAGTTCCCAACCTTGAGGGGACCACATTTCAGCTATAGACTCTGTGGTGTTGAGCTAGAGAAAATATATCAGGAAATCGATCCTTCAAAGCTCTATTCCCCAACCAGTGAAAAGGATGTCCTGCCATCATTTTGAAACGTAATTCTTTAAAGAAGGCCATAATACCCCCATAGACATCCAAAGGCTAACACCATAAGTTGAGTTAAATGGTTTAGTCATCTAGTTGTCTTCTATTTCATATTTAGCTTTGATCATCTTGCTCCATAATCTTTGAGGGTCTTGAGAGTACTTCCTAACCATTTCAATTTAAGGTCTTTACTGTGTTTTTTCAAGTTTCTATTTCCCATGCATCTTGAGCCTTGTTTAGAATTACATCTTAACACTTGACCAGATGATAAACCTTTTTTTCTTTATTGCCTTACTACAAAAAAAATTCCTTCTAATGTTGTCAAATCTTTTGGCGACTCCCACAGGGATGGGAAAGGGGATATCATATAAGTTGGTAGTGAGTCTAGTACTGAATTTACGGAAAAGGACCTAGAATACCCTTAAACTATTGAAAATGGTACAAAATTACTTCCCTTCACCCATTGACCCCGAAATACCCTGACATATACCTTTAGGTCCTATATTGCCCTTATTTTGAACAGACTTCAATTTAAACCTAATTAATAAATTAACTAATGACGTGTCACTCATTTATTATTAGTCAGCCTGTAATTAACTTAAATTGATTTAAAAACCAAACCATTCCCAAATTAAATTGACCCGCCCCAAATCAAATTTCAATTAAAAAATCTTCACCCTCCACTACCTTTGCTTCCTTGCACCGGCCACCGTCGTCTGACAGAGAAATGAGAATTTGACAATTCCGGTTGAAGTAGTGATGAGCCAAAATTATGCTTGATTTCTACATGTGTTTGTATGTTGTGGATTTAGTTTGTATAAGTTTTTATTGTATTAACTTGTTAATGGTGTTTATTCCTTTTCTTTTTGTGAATTTCCATGTTATTAGGGCAATGTTGGAGTTTGAACAGAATACAATCAATCCAAAGTTGTTACCTTTTTCCTCCCTGCAATTTTCAATGTGAATCAAGTGAATCTTCTAAGGTTACATGAAGGAATTGATGCTTTGAGATTATGTTACCTCTTCGGTTCATTTTCTCATTTGCATATAATACTAACAAGTTGAGAAGCTTAAGGATTTGTGCTTCAAGCAAAGGGAAGAGATAAAGCACTTAATAATTCCATGTTGTTCACAAATGTTATGAATTCTCAATTTTTTTGGAAAAGCCGGTTTAAAACTCAAACAAGCATGGGCTGATGGTTTAAAATTTTTTGGGACGGTTCTATTTGATTTGGGGTGGGTCGATTTGATTTGGAAATTGGTGGATTTTAAAATTAGTTTAAATTAATTATCGGTTTACCAATAGATGAGCGCCCTGTCATTAATTAATGGGTAAACTACATAAATCTCTCACTAGTTTAGGTTCTAATTACTAATTTTTCCGATAGTTTCAAATATTACTTCCTCTACCATATTTTGTGCTTAGGATACATGAGTCTGAATCCGCGAGATACATGTATCTGTCGAATTTTAAAAGCGAGATACATATTTATTTGCTTAAATTATTAGTTGTAACTGATTTCCTTAATTGAAGAAGTAATTTAGGATTTTCAGAATACATGGACAATTAATTTTGGAAATTTGAATTAATCAAATCCCTTAATATAAGACATAAATCAAGAAGTGTATCTATGTTTAATTAATTTCATTTTATTATTTTTTGAAATAATATATTCATAAATATTATTAATAAGAGACAAAAACATGTATATCTTGGTCATGTAATTGGATTAGTTTCTTTTTATTACTCTTAAAATAATAAATTCATTAATTTGATATATCTATTATCGATATATGATATATCCAACAAACTGAATACACTTGGATACATGAGTATCATACAAGTACATTCATATGTATCATAGAAGTATCTAGTATTAATTTCATGTATTTGTTATATGTATCTAGTACTAATTTCATGTATCTATTTATATGATCTAATACTAATTTCATGAATTTATTTATATGATCTAATATTATTTCATGTATCTCTCTTTCTCTCTCTCTCTCTCTCTAGATATATATATAGTGTATTAACATTTAGTGTATCAAATATCTATTTCATACGTTATATCCAAAAACGTGTATCTCAAATACATAGAAAGCATATACGTCTAATTATGTGTACCTAAATATGGAATGTAACTGAAACACATGAATTTAGGAACAAATCAAGATTGTAGAGTAACTGTCGTATCATTAATAAAAAAAGTAAAAAATTTCAAAATTCTTTCCTTTTCTTTAGCATCTGAATTTTTTTCTCATAGATATATATAATCTTAACTCAGGTACATAACTTTTAATTAGATACATGTGTTTTCAAATACATATTTTGACCACCATCTCTCCTCTTCTCCTTTTCGTCTCTATCATCTCCGATGATGGCATGGTGTTGGCGTTGACGGACTATGGTCATGTATCTAATACATGACAGAACAAATTCACGAACAAAAATAGTTTACTTTTTCAACAAAGATATTGCTCGTAGTGCCTTGATCTATGGACCTCCGCCAGCAATTGAAAATTCCACTTTTTTGTCCCAATCAATAGTAACAAACCTCTACATATATTGCTGATGAACAAGAATCGTTTTGAATAGTTGGATGATGAAATCGTGTGTTGAGAGGAACAACAAGAGAAGTGCAGAAACATGGTGAAATTCCTTAAGTCAAACAATGGAGTAGTGGTTCTCCAAGGAAAGTACACCGGGAGGAAAATGGTGATTGTTTGAGCTTTTGTCGATGGGGCATATGATAGGCCATACGGATATTGTTTGGTCGCCGGCGTAGTCAAGTACTCAAAGAAAGTGATCCGTATGGATATGCAAAAAAGCAGGCAAACAAATAATGCGAAGTCTTTCATCAAGCTTGTCAATTACAACCCAAAAAAAAGATGAAGGAAGAGAGAATACGGTGGAGGTGATGTGGGGGTGGGGGTGAGAGATATAGATGGTAATAAGATTGGGGGAGGAAACGACTGATGTGAGAGAAGAAGATTGTTTGTTTATTTATTGATGAAGAAACAAAAAGAGAAAATCGAGTTCGAATTAGAGATGAAGAATACTAGATAGATGGATTCAGGGTTTTAATTTGGTATGAATTCATTTGGCTTAATTTAGTGTGTTGGGTTTGAATTAAAAGAGAAAATCGAGTCATTTGAATCGAAATTAGGTAATTTTAGTTGATTTGGGGATTTCCATCCAATTGAGGGGTACCAGTGACAAGTATTGTAACGACGAGGGTAAAAATAACTTCATTTTAACGGTAAAAGTGACGTCAACTAATAAAGGAAAGTTGAAGGGTATTTTTGACCTTTTTCCTTTTTTTTAAACTAGAGGTAAAGTAAGTCTATATGGTAGTGAAGTATGTCTAGTTAGGTATTTTTCCTTGATTACTTTATTAATTGAGTTTAAATTGAAGGCTCTTAAAAATAAGGGTTATATAGGACCTAAGGTAGACGTAGGGGTATTTGGGAGCCAATAGGTGAATGGAGGGTAGTTTTGTACCATTTCGAATAGTTTAAGGGTATTTTAGGCACTTTTCCATTGAATTTATTAGAGTGAGGCCGTGAGCCTTCCTCTCAATGACAAGTATTGACACTTCCATCTTGAAAGTTTTTTGTCATATTTCTCTCGGATATTATTCCAAACTGCTATGAACTTTGATTTGGCCCATTGGTTTGCCAAGATAAGTGTAAGAAGAGCCCTCCACTTCTTTCCTAGAATTATTGTTAAAGCCTCTATATTTGCTTCTTCATTAATTCAGAAAAGATGACTCTTTCTCAAAGTAATATGAAGTCGAGAGATGCCTTCAAAGAGAACTAAGATAATTTTCACCTCTACATCACAACAAATCAAGGTGTCATTAGCATACTAAAGATGTGTGATCTCTTGCCTATTGTGCCCATTCATTACTACCGCAAAGCCTTTAATCCACCCATTATGTGGCAATTTTTACCAAGTTCAACTCTTTCAAGGAAATTATGATAAGAAAAGAAGACAAAGGGTCACCCTCCTGGGACTTCTCTGAGCAGGAAAGAAACCTTATGGAGAACCTAAGTTGCTCCGACTCGGGTGCGGGTGTCCGATACCGGTGCGGATCTAGAGGTTGGATCCTTCGTGATCTAATTTTTAAGATCCGGGGATATGGATCCATGCATGGATACGGGTGTGGGGATCCGCCTAAAAATAATTAAAATACCTAAAAAATAGAGTTATAAAACCTAAATTATGAGATATTATGTGGAGAACTTGAGGAGAATCCTAGAAGGTGATTAAAGGAAAAGGACATTTGTGTGACTATAAGACTTTTGAAGCTTATGGTGTTGAATATTCTTTTCATATTTTGTGGCTATAAAAGCTTCTCATTAAGGGTAAATTTAAGTTCAATTGTTTTCAGAAAGAAACTAAGAATCTTAAAAACTTGTTGTCTTAAACCTGACATAACATTTGTGGGACTATAAGACTTTTGAAGCTTATGGTCTTTGATAATTTTATCATATTTTGTGGATATAATACCATCTCCAACCTATCTCTATTTTACTCTCCATGCTCTATATGTGGAGAGTAAAATAGAGAATGTCCATTCCAACCCTCTATTATTTGAAATAGGAAAATAAAATTGATATAGAAATAATAATATAATATTGAGGAAAGAGAAAATAGATTCTTTTTAGAGAGTAAAATAGTGATTTTGGTTGGAGTTGATTTTCTGAAAAAATAGAGAACTTTATATTTGGAGAGTAAAATAGAGAATAGGATTGGAGATGCCCTAAAAGCTTCTCATTAAGGGTAATTTTAAGTTAAATTGTTTCAAATTTTTTGAGGTCATTTTCTTTGGAATAGACTAAAACGGAAGTAGAATAACATAAATTGAATCAGAGGGAGTAGTTGAGAATTTGCTTTGGCCATGTGCACTATTACTTTACACTTCTAGTACTTTATTTTAGTTTTTATTATATTTTATTTTGTATAAAGTTGGCCCGAGATGAGTTTAAATGGAGTAACATGGTCATTGAAGATGCATTAATCGACTTCAACATGCGTGAGACTGAGGCATAGTTGTATTGTTGTTTCATAGTTGTTGTTATGCTGTTCCTTGTTTTTTTGATAGTTATTAATGATTTCTTTCTATCTTTTTGTTTTCCAGGTAAATTATCACTATCACTACTATTTTGGAGATGTACAATGGTAAACTTTTTTGAACTGAAACTGAGGTCCCCCTCGCTACAATCTCTTTGGTTCTTCGTCAGTGCAACATGAATGTATTCCGCAAGCAATTCTAGGCATGGATGTTCTTTGTCAAGCTAAATCTGGAATGGGCAAAACTGCTGTTTTTGTTCTTTCAACGCTGCAACAGATTGAACCTGTTGCTGGTCAGGTTGCTGCCATAGTTCTATGTCACACAAGGGAATTAGCTTATCAGGCATGTATTGAAATATGCAAAACAAAATTTAGAAATTCTTTCTGCTTCCCCCTATGTAGGTAAGGTTAAAAATATTTTTGTGTGGGGTTCTTGGTTTCTGCAGATCTGTCATGAATTTGAGAGGTTCAGCACATACTTGCCTGATATCAAGGTTGCTGTTTTCTATGGTGGTGTCAATATCAAACTTCACAAGGAGCTTCTAAAGAATGAATGCCCTCATATAGTTGTTGGAACTCCTGGAAGAATACTTGCATTGGCTAGAGATAAGGACCTGTCTTTGAGGAATGTGAGGCATTTTATACTGGATGAATGTGACAAAATGCTTGAATCACTTGGTATGTGTTAGCTGCATAATGCGATTCATGATTCCTGTTACATTCAAAACCGTGCGAGGTTCTTTCAGTAGCTCTTTTACTGATTACCTGTGTTTGTTTCAGACATGAGAAGAGATGTGCAGGCAATTTTCAAGACGACTCCTCATGACAAGCAAGTAATGATGTTTTCAGCAACACTCAGCAAAGAGATTCGCCCCATTTGCAAGAAATTTATGCAAGATGTAATGCCCTGTGGCCAGTTCTTCAATTTAGAAGTCTACCATTCTTCCATGATTTTAGTTTTCTGCACGAGATATGGTGTATCTGGCCAAAGGTTATTTTATAATAGAGCTCAAAGATAGGGATCACTAGAGTCCAGTTGTTGAGCGGGAAATCTGATTGCTGCACTAAAGCTTTTAGTTTGCTTGTTCTTGTCCCTATTTGTTTTGTTATTTTTCATTTTCTTGTGATGAGATAATAGTCGAAAAGGTCTCGAGGAGATATATAGTGGAAACAGAATAATGGTGGGTGGGTTGGTGGGTGGGGGTTGATGATTGCAGCTTTTTGGTAGTTTTCTTTTAGCATTGTGAGAACACATTTTAAGCAACAATGGAAATAGTTGATGTGCTTTTACACTAGCTGCAAGGAGAAATATCAAAGAACCTTGGTTCATGGGGATCTCCATCCTATCCATTTCGTACTGGATACAATTAGCTTCACGAAGCTCCTAATATGCTTTGGTATGACATTCCTTTCAGCCAATGGAAATATATGTTGATGATGAGGCCAAGTTGACGCTTCATGGACTTGTACAGGTATGTCTTTTGGGACCTAGACATGTTAACATCATTCTTAAAATTAGTAGCCTTCTTACCTTGTTTCTATTTCATGATAGCACTACATCAAATTGAGCGAACTGGAGAAGAACCGGAAGCTGAATGACCTGCTGGATGCGTTGGACTTCAATCAAGTTGTTATATTTGTCAAGAGTGTAAGCAGAGCAGCAGAGCTGAATAAATTGCTTGTCGACTGCAATTTTCCATCTATCTGCATCCACTCTGGAATGACTCAGGAAGAAAGGTCTATATAGCTTTTAATTTCAAGTGCTCTCCACTTAATTTGCTTGTGCACTAAAGTTACACTTAATTTATTTATCAAATCATTCTCCACTTTGTCTTCTTATGCACTCAAAGATGTACTTAGTTTCTAAATCCAAAAAGAGCTCTTGGAGTTACGTCCAAGGTCCATTTCTTAACGATCCTAAAGTTATGTGGGAAGTTAAAATGATGTTATCCAGATATCAGTTCGACAAAATATACTCTCTAGGATTCTTCTATTAGTTGTATGTGATTGAATATGCTGATTACTATGCTTTATTAATGTTCTACTATTTACTCCTCCATTCATTGTGTTAGTTATCTATCACGACCCACAAAGTACACTCTAAATGTGACATGGCGTATAAGGCCACAAAAGGTTCTACACATGCCACTTGACATACATATACACAATATAATAGAGAAAAACAAGAAATCTCATAAGAATATAAAGAGTTGGACATAAGCGGAAGTACATCAAAGTTTAAACAAGCCTTCTATTACATCAAATGAGTGGTCAGGACGTAACCCGTACACCACATACAATGTCTGAAACGAAAACATAAAGAAGCAATAAATGCATCATTGTCCTCAAAGTATGAGGACTTAGCAAGTCTTCAAAATCTCTAAGTGCTGCCACGAACGGAGGGAGAGGAATTGTCAAGCGTTACATTATTGAAACAATGTAATCACAAATATGCATTAGTACATGAAATGTACTAAGTATGAGGGGAATGCAATAAAACATGAACATGATCATAATGGGACACAATTGAAAACATGATAAGCATGACCAAGCTAAACATAGTAAAATCATTGAAGAAGAATCGTAAATCATGAACATGGTCAATGCATCATAAACTCACAAGGAAAGATTCATAAAACATTTGTAAGTAACTTAGTTCATATTGTGGGATATTAGCTTTAATCGACATTAGACCATACGAGCTATAACATGGAAACCGATGTAACTCCTACATATGATAGAACTCTATATCGTATCATGTGCTGTATATGGATCCACTAGCTAGGCCATTTAAGGCTAACCTACGGGGGCACGCAGTTAGGAACTAGATGTTGCTACTAGAGACTACCCTATTTGAGCCTTTACCTCAAAGTTCTCTCGATGCTAAGTTAAATCCCGATGGAATAGTCATTTTCATAAAGTCATCATTATCCATGGACAAGTATAATTGAATTACTAATCCAAGCTAAAAACAACATAGAGTAGTTCATTAAATCTTGAATCTAGTCTAAGTGAGAAAACGTTTCACCAAGTCATGATACCTTAGCATGTGAGAAAAACCTTTCACAATGCATTGATGCTCATCTTAACGCAACCTAAATCATAACTCATTCCGTTTCATAAATTATGCATAAGTTAACAAAAACATCATCCATTGATTCATAACTTTCTTCAAATTCATGCAATGTAGGGTTCATAGTCAAAATCATGATCAATGCATGGGTTCACATGGAATTAATGCTATTGCATTAATTGAATCAATGCTATTGCATTAATTGAATCAATGCATGGGTTCACATGGTTCACCAAGTCATGATACCTTAGCATGTGAGAAAAACCTTTCACAATTCATTGATGCTCATCTTAACGCAACCTAAATCATAACTCATTCCGTTTCATAAATTATGCATAAGTTAACAAAAGCATCATCCATTGATTCATAACTTTCTTCAAATTCATGCAATGTAGGGTTCATAGTCAAAATCATGATCAATGCATGGGTTCACATGGAATTAATGCTATTGAATCTAAATAGCATTAATTGAATCAATGCATGGGTTCACATGGTTCACCAAGTCATGATACCTTAGCATGTGAGAAAAACCTTTCACAATTCATTGATGCTCATCTTAACGCAACCTAAATCATAACTCATTCCGTTTCATAAATTATGCATAAGTTAACAAAAGCATCATCCATTGATTCATAACTTTCTTCAAATTCATGCAATGTAGGGTTCATAGTCAAAATCATGATCAATGCATGGGTTCACATGGAATTGATTGGAAAACATTAATTGAATCTAAATAGTCATAATATGATCAAAATCAAACTATTGAATCCATACAAATAGAACCCATGAGGACTTGAATGGAAACCTAACCAATTGAATTGAATTTGAATTTGGAGAATTGAACAATCTTTTGGGGACTCAATTGGTGAATGGAGCCCATTGATGAACTCCCTACATACCTTGATTGAAGCCCTAGAACCAATGGTGAACAAGGAGACTTGATCTTCAAGAACCCTAGTTTCCTCTTCCTTGATCTGAAGAGAAGATTTTTGGAGAGAATTTAGGAATTTGATTGAATGAGGGAGTTGGGGAAATTTCTAAGGGTAAAGGGTATTTATAGGTCTTAGATTTAGTGTAAAAATGACGTAGCATAGACATTTAGTGCATTGGAAAAGACCCAAATACCCTTTAAAAATAACTGCCGGTTTGACCTACGGGTCCGTAGGAATTTCTATGGTTGACCGTAGAACCAACTTCAGAAACCCAAATATTCAATTGTTTCCCACAAAGACTATTCTACAGCCCGTTGAATCTCCTACGGTCCGTAGAACTCAACTTTCACGAAGTCTTGGAACCTTTCTACTAGACCTTCCTACGTCCCGTAGACCAAATGATGGCCCGTCAAACCCTTCCGTAGGACTGAGGTCCTAAATCAAATCTCTGCATTACCCTTACAAATGCCATTTACAGCCCGTTAACCATCCTACGGTTCGTCCTGTCAAGTCGTAGTTCAAAACTTCAGAAACTTAATTTTCGTAAACACAACCCAACTTCTACGGCCCGTAGGACATCATACGGTCTGTAGATGGGACTCATAGTTCACTACTGACAGCCAAATTCTGCATTTTTCTTTCCTTTTCGACTTTCCAGTTTCTGGGGTATTACATTATCAAAACTTGCTCATATCGTTGTATTCAATTTTCATCACTATTGTGTGATTGAGTGGAATTAAGAGGCTGCACCAATTCTTTAATGCTGCCCTTAAGTTTTTATTAATTTGTATCTGATGCAAGTTTAACTCATAACTTGTCTCTGTTGAGTAGATTGACTCGCTATAAGGGTTTCAAGGAGGGGCACAAGAGAATTCTTGTGGCAACTGATTTGGTTGGGAGGGGCATTGACATTGAAAGGGTCAACATTGTTATTAACTATGACATGCCAGATTCTGCAGATACTTACCTTCACAGAGTAATTCTTATCTTTGGTTTCTGTTTTAATTTATACATCTTATGTAGATTCTAATAATTATCTTAGTACTTGTAAATGTATAGGTGGGTAGAGCTGGTAGGTTTGGAACTAAAGGCCTTGCCATCACATTTGTCTCCTCTGCATCAGATTCTGATGTTCTTAATCAGGTTAGAGAACTTTGATATTTCTATCCTGTTATGGCGTATTCTGTTGATTCACTTGTTCTGACTTGCTTGTGCTTTACTAATTATAGGTTCAGCAGAGGTTTGAAGTGGATATTAAAGAGCTTCCTGAGCAGATTGATACTTCCACATACAGTATGCTGTTAATTGATGTTTAACATTAGCACTTGCTTTCATTTCCTTATGTTTGTTGCTTTTCTCAATTATATAGGCTATATGAACTATTTGATAAGGTTCTGGAAATTTTAGCCATTTTCTGCTTAGAGGTTCTGAAATGGACATGAAAATAGCCCTTTCAATGCAAACTGGTTATTTTATGTGGATAAGTGTTTCAACAATAACAACATACTTAGCTGGCCTGGACACCATGGTCATCAAAAAAAGAAGTTTTGCATTGAGTAGAAGTATCCTTTGCTACAGTGAGTTTGGAAGATTGTGTGTATTTTGGCCCCTTTGTGTTTTGCTAACTTATTCTAATACAATTGTTTCCTGATGGGTTGATATTGTGAAATATCAAAGCTAAGTGTCATCTTAATTGTTTTTGCTTTTGTATTTCTCTTGAATTTGCATTGTGTTTTAACTGCTTGAGCAGTTGGTTTAAGGTGCTCAAAAAGTAGTCTTGTGTGTGCAGTGCCATCATAGTGGAGTGAGGTCTTCATGGAAAATATTCAGGTGAAGTTGCATGAAGATAAGTGAACTCACAATAAGGCGGTTTCGAAATTTGATCCAATTAATTGGAAGAATGGGTAGCTGCCTCTGTTTCAGCACTTTTAGATTGATGTACCTATGGAATCCATACATGTTTTAATCAGTTCGAGAACTCCAAATGTTAATGTAATCCTTTTAAGAACACAACTGATGTCCCTTCTGCTGCCTAGTTGCTAATGATTAATTCAGGCCAGGTCCAGAGTACTAGTTGATGTTTACTTAAATTTGTTCACTTGAAGTTCGAGAACTATATTTGTGATGAGAAATTGTAAGCTGACAACTGAAACTGAATCTGGAAACTCTGTTAATCTGGTGAGTATATATTTTTTTTCCGCTGATTGTGCCTTGTGTAAGACATTCCTGGCACTAGTAAATTTCTCATACCGCTGTCCTAGCAGATGAAGTTGCACTGTCATTTGAAAGTGCTGTTTTGATAATACGATGGATACAGCTAAACAAGTTCCGGTGAAGATCATCTCTATTAATGCATTCTCGACAATTACTTGTAGAAAAATGCATGGTTCTCTTAAGTAGCTTGGAAGATATAGCGAGACATAAATGGCTCTACACTCTAGGAAGTAGTGTCAGAGAATCATGTGATGTCTGAAACAGTGCAACTAAATATTGTGATGTTAAGATCAGTTTGATAGAGATGGTGGGAGGGCAGGAGTGTGGTGGGAAGTGAAGGGATGGTATTGGGCAGAGTGTTAGTTCGAAGTGGATGCAAAGTCACTTTAGGCAGAGATGGCAATGGTAAAGATGTGGGAAATTGTGGCGGTGGTCGTCCAGATGCTTTCAAGAAATATTGCTATGATCATCAAAGTTGATGCAAAGTCAGTTTAGGCAGAAATAGCAAAATGGTTAAAATGTGGGAAATTGTGGCAGTGGTCGTCCAGATGCTTTCAAGATATATTGCTATGATCAACAAAGTGGATGCATAATTAGTTTAGGCAGAGATGGGAATGGTAAAGATGTGGGGAATTGTGGCAGTGGTCGTCCAGATGCTTTCAAGAAATATTGCTATGATCATATACATTTCTTGAAAGCAACCATTATCAAAGTGGGATTCTTTCTTCAAACTATATATATAGTTTGGGACCATAGGGCAGGGCAGAGCCTTGAAGAAGGTGTGGGGCAAAACTCATTTTATCAATACAATTAGTGTGATAGCAAAAGTAGCAGGGCTTATAAATATTTCAGCAATTTCTTAAGAGCTCTGTTACTATTGAACTTACAGCCAGCCAGGGTTATTTATACCATTCTTTATCATGTTTAATTTTTTTTTCCTCTTTCTATTCTTTTCATAACTAATTTCTCTCTCTTCTTGCCATGGTAATTTATTGTTGGAAAAACTAAATAATAGACCTACTTTACTACTATATATACTATTATTACCTATACTTTCAAAATATTACTCCCTCCGTTTTTAAAAAAAAAATAGTCTAGTTTGATTTGACACAAAGTTTAATAGACTTTTCAATCTTGTAGTTTTAAATTAAAGTTATACCAAAATATCCTTTAATCTTGTGGTATTAAACATGTCACGTGGAAAATTTAAACTTAAGTGTTGCTAAAAAAGGAGTCATTCTTTTGAAACAGGTTAAAAAGGAAAGCAAGTTATTCTTTTTGAAACGGAGTGAGTACGTATCTTACCATTAATTAAGAGTTTCATATCATATATTGAAAAAGATACACTTAGATACATGCATATTTACTACTAGATACACAAAAATAGGGAGAGAGGCAAGCAAGATGGGGAGGGAGGTAAGTGAGATTCGTATGTATCCTAGATCATGTGAATCACACTAGATATATGTATCTGTATGTTTCTAGTGTGATTCACATGTATATGGTAGAGAGTGATGAGCGATATGGGAGAGGTGCAAGTGAGATTTATTATGTATCCAGATACATGCGAATCCACTTGCATACAATGTATCTAGAACAAATTACACCTATTGTATCTCCATACACATCTATCTGGACGTATTTGGACACACCAAAATATGGTAAGATATGTAATGTTATAAATTAGTGTGTATCTAAGTAATTAACTCCTAAACTAGTGTGATTTATGTAAGTCTCCCTTGATTGTTCCCATCTAATACTACCGCAGTGGTGGTTTATGTAATTCCTTTTAAGTGAGTTTATGTTTATATGAAAAAGTTCAAATCAATTTTAAAAGATCCAACTCAATACAGAGGGTGGAACAACTGATCAATAAAAAAAAGAAAAAAATAAAGTAATGTGCATAGTACAATTTTTTTCAAGGTGAAAAAAAATGAAAGAAAATATATAAATAGGTCCTGATAAGGCAGAACAGGGCAATATTTTGAAAACATGCTTAGTTAGTTAGGCAAGTTAAATTTAAGCATGTTAAGATTTTCCCCGCCCCGCCTCGCCCCATTTATATTCTTAGGGTTAGATGAGACATGGGTGTGAAAGATTGGAAGCTTGTGTAGTGTTAATTCAACTTAAAATAACTTGATATTAGTTGGCGGCCCCTCACCTCTGTTGGAGTCCCCTACTTTACCCCTAGAGAAAATAGCCTTTTATCCCCTGTACCCCTCACTAAGACTTACCTTGCTACCCCTAATACTATCATCACATCCACTAAAAGTAGCAAGTATAGAGGATACAATTACCCATCCCGATAAATCCTTAGAGATAGAGTCCACATCATTGTTGTGGGAAGTAGCCTTAACTGACATAGAGACCATGTGACCTCTAACATGGAATCCCGGTGTACTCTTCTCACACCAAAAAGAGGGTGTCCTACTTGCCAAGGTAGGACCTTGAACTTCTAGCTTAAGTGGATCCACTAGCAAATATGTATATATCTAAGACAATCATCATCTATCTTAAGACAATCATCCTATGGGGGCACATAGGTATGGGATAAGGAGATTGCTGCTAGAAACCCTGCCTCAAGCTATGGGAGAGCATCCATTTCAATATTCTCTCGGTGCTAAGCATAAATCCAATAGAATAATTATTAATTTAACTTGTCTTATCATTAAGAGACATGGGTATTTGCCACTTGTCGTATCATAGGATAGCTCCTTAGACCATGCGTGAGAAAACCTTTCACCATCCATGATATTTTCATAATAGCTTTTAACGCCCATAGTCATTCACTCCATGCTAGAAATACCCTACTACTAATGGAAATAATTTTGAAAGCGTGATCTATTATCATTGATGGCATATCCGAATACCAAACCAATCAAGATCTAATTTGGGAAAATAGCCAGAAAAGCATTGAAGGAAAATCGAGATGTCATTTATGTCATGTGGCCAAGCTGCATAAAACATATAAATATCTTCATCTATAAGCTTACTTGAGTCATAAACATACTTTCATAAACATGCATCCTTTTCAATAATTCATAAGCTTCATCATGTTTTCAAAGTCAATACATCCTCAACTTCATTTACATCAATCTCATCAAAAGGACATGCATTTCTTCTTAAATTCATCTTTCATTGTTTATAATCAAAATCATGGATATTCATGGGTTCATGGGAAATAAACTTAAAAATATGCAATTACTTCAATTCATGCATAAAAAAGTCATAAAACAATCAATTGGATGAACATTGAAAGGAACCCATGACATTGGAGATTTCTAACTTGTAAATTGGAAAATTTAGGAACCCTATGGAGGAAAGGACTCCATAGGTGAATACTATCATACCTTGATGCCAAAACCTTAAAATCAATGGTGAAATTGTAGACTTGACTTGAAAGCGCAACTTGACTTCTTCTTCTTCTTCTTCTTAGAGAGAGAAATATTTAAGAGGAGGTGGTTGAACAACATTTGGGATTTTTAAGAGAATGAATTGAGTTTGGGTGATTTGGGGGTTTAATCATTATATAGGGATTTGGGTAGAAGGTAAAATGACGTAGTATTAAGTTAAAGCAATTGGGAAAGACCTCAAAGCCCCTGACTTAAAGCTGCCGAATTGACTAATTGGAAGGCCTAAATGGGTCGTGAAGAAATTCTAACTGATAGGGCTTCACTATTTTGGGCATAAATTTTTACTCTGAGCTTGGAATTAGGAAAAATCGTTGGTGTTGGAAAGATGGCTCACAAATCTTTAATTTGATAGGTCATGGGCCACTTAATTCATTTTGTGTTAAAACATATGATTGTTAGAAGTTGACCCTGAACTCTAAGTTTGATAGACCCCCTTCACAGACGACTACACAGTCCGTGTGGGGCTTCATGGGCCGTTTAGACGTCTGTGGTCCTTGACAAGTGACTAGGGGAGAACCCCTTTTGATCTAGGCCACTTGACGACTCCTTTGATAACCTGCCAACATCACCATGGACCATCTGGGAGTCTGTCAAGGTGAAGCTTGCCTGGGGCAGGTTTTGGAAATCTATCACGAGCCGATTAATGACCGTGGTCCCCTTCGCGTCCCGTCTAGGGTTCCATGGTCCACTTTTGGGCTTGTGACTTGCCTGCTTGACCCTTTTCTAGCCTTTCTTGAATCCGAGGTGTTACAATATCTCCCCCTTAGGAACATTCCTCGAATGAATTCAAACTAGTACGAAAAGAGTAGGAGAGAAACTAATAACTAAATCATTAATGCAACTTCATCAAAATGCACATAACCAAGGAGGAACCTCGACTCCAAGCTTTTAACATATTCAAAACATCATATCATAAGGTCTATATGCAACTCGTACTCAAATGCACATAAACATGAAACAGTCAAGTAAGCTAAATCATATCTTTGAAAAGTCAATTTTTTCGTGAGCATGCATGCATGAGGAAACATGAGGATGACTAAGACACACGAGTCCTAAAGAGTGAATCATGAGGGCTAAGGCTTCAAAATAGACCCAAAGATAGAAGGAAAATATAGGGATACTACGATATCACACCGCCTTCGAATTTTCGCACACCAAACCATAACAAGGAACTCTTCCAACATCAACATAGTTCTACTCACACACCAACAATGAACCACACTATCTCTCCCTTCCTCCCTAGTCTTTTCAAATCCATCTCCCTCAACCCAAGAATAACACCAAAATCTTAACAACAATGGACCCATTGATACAAGTAAACACTTAAGAAGTTTCCACTAGGATTTCAAGGACTACTTCAAACACAATCACCATACATGAAGCCTT